CCTTTAATTATTTGAGTATGATTTCATTTAATTTTTTAAATGTGATGTTTTTGTTTATTTATCTTTTTGCTTAGTGATTTGCCTGGACAAATACTGTAAGTGTGAAACTGATACATTTGACCAGTTTTAAAAGTTCTTTTATTCCTAAACCTGGCTTCCTAAGTGTTCCCAGATTATCAAAGGCTGAGAGATTCATTGCTGTAAAACCTGCCTAACTAGAAATACTAATGGAAGTTCTTTGGACTAGAAGGAAATGATAGAATATGTCAACTCAAATACACAAATAGAAATACAGAATACCAATAAAAGTAATTCTTACATAGGTAATTATAAATGACAATATAAAGTATATTTCCCTTTTGGTTTTAAAGCTAATTTAAAAGGCAATTGCATAAAGCAGTAATTATAAAGTTGCATTGTTGACCTTGTCACATAAAAAAGATGAAATAATAAAACAAAGAGAATGTGAGGGAATGGAGCAATATATTGGAGCAAGGATATGGCACCTGACAAAATAATCAAATCCATGGGATAAAATGAAGAGTATTAAAATGGTAAATATGTTGGTTACTATAAAAGACTCTATAATTGTATTTCCTCCTTTCTTAACTTCTTTAGAAAACATGACTGTATAAAGCAATAACTGTAACATTGCATTTTTTGGACTCATAACAAATATAGTCATTACATAATAATAATAGTGCAAAGGAAAGGAGGAAACTAGCCATATTGGAACAAAACCTGTATAATTTTGCTAGAATTAGTCTGAAAATAGTTGAAGTTAAGATGAATATTGTAATTCCTAGATCAGTGTTTCTCAACCTCAGTACTATTGACCGTTTTTTGTTGGATAATCCCTTTACCGTGGAACAGTGTACTGGGCATTGTAGCATGTTTAGCCACATCCCTTGCTTTACCCAAAAGATAACAGTAACACTCCTTTAACTGTAACAAACAAGATGATCTCCAGATATAGTTAAATGTTCCCCTAGGAGAAAAATCACCCCCTTTTGGAACCACTATCCTAGAGCAATACTAAGAAAATGGCAAAAAATAAGTTAGAAAAATCAACAAAAGAAATAAAGCAGAACATTAGAAAATATCTGCCTATTAAAAAGGACGATGGTAAAAGAGGAACAGAGGAACAAAAAAGCCATGAGATATAGACAACAAATAGTGAAACAGCAGACTTAAGTTTCACCACACTGAAAGATATACTAAATTTAAATTGATTAAACAGTGCAATCTAAAGTCAGATATGGCCAGACTAGAAAAAATATCAGGTCCACTACATGATGTGTATAAGAGAAACACTTCAGGTTAAAGGACACAAACAAATTGAAAGTTAAAAGATGGAGAAAGATATACCATGCAAACAGTAAGCATATGAGGACCAGAAAGAAGTAATTATACATGCTACCACACAGATGAACCTCAAAAATATATGCTAAGCAAAAAAAGCCAGATGCAAAAGACCACATATTACATAGCCTCATTTAAATGAAGTGTCCAGAAAAGACAAACCTGAGTCTGGGGGTGCCTGAATCTGAAGAGGGGAACATGAGTAACTACAAACAAGTACAAGGGATCTCTGGGGATTACAGCAACATTCTAAAATTGGATTGTGGAGATGGTCATACAACTCTGTATATGTACTAAAAATTAATGAATTTGCACTGAAATAGTCAATTTTATGATTTGTAAATTATACTTCAATAAAGCTGTTAATAAAAGATAAATGAGTGATGTGTAGAAGAGCCTTGCCGATGATATTTCAGAATAAACCATGTAAAATTATAATAGAAAAAGACAAATAAATAATTGACTCAGAAAAGAAACCTCAAATAACAGGTCACAGAACTTAATGTATGATATATAATGTTTCTATTCAGTAGGGCAGTAATAGCTAATAAATATTGTTGTCTGAGTGGCTTTAAAGTCATAAAATAATACATTTAGACACCCATATTATACCAAAATATAAATTCCAAATGATTAAAAATAAAATAAAAATAGCACAAACTAAGGAAGATTAAGAGAATATGTACAATGAATAGAGTATTTCTTAATCAAAACATGAGATCTACATGCTATCAGGAAAAGGCAGGCATACGTGATTATGTAAATACTTAAATTCTTATGTGGCAAAATAAAACAAAATAGTCAAGAATTAGATCTGGATCATTATTTCCAACATAGATAACATAGATTACTGTCAATATTGCTAATGGATAAGAAAAAGACAAATGTTAGAAATATGCAAAATATATAAATAAGCAAATTACAAGAAAGCAAATCCAAATAGTTAACAAATACATGAAAACAGTGACATGGGTCATAAACAGAATAAACTAAAAGGAGACACTACTTTGTACTCATCAGAAGGCCAAAAGTTTTAAATGATCTGTTACATGATATCTGGAGGGTATTTAGGGGAAAACTATACTTACCATTACTTAGGATATGTGAACTTTCTATAAAGCAATCTAGCAACATATATTCAAATTAAAATATATACCCACTTTGATTTTAGAACCCCATTCCTGAGAATCACCCCCATTTACATAAAAACTTCCAAACTTAAGGATTTGTATACAGGTATGTTTATGGAAACATTATTCATTCTGTCAAACGTCTGGAAGCAAAGGTAATGCCCATATAAAACATAGTTGTATAGATTATGGCACATCCTTACTATGATTCCATTAGGATATAATTTGAAAGAATTATGAGAACTAAACTATTTGACCTTTATTAATATACCCATGGTATTGTTGAGTAAGGGAAGCAAGATAACACCTGCATATTTAATGGCAGTTATTAAAAGACAGAATAGCCATGTATATGTAAAAATGAATATATATATATATATATGAGCACTTACATGTAATTATATGAATAGGGAGAATGTTATGAAGGAAAATATATTCAGTTAATAATTCATGGGTTCCTGGAGAGGGTGGTGATGTGGTTGGAGGAAGAAGAGAAATTGGGGAAAGTTTAGTTAAGTAATAAAGAAAAGAAAAAAAGTAAGACTGGACCACCATGAAGCACCATACATAAAATGATCTTATGCATTTTCATGAAATTATATATGTGCATTTATGTGTACAAAGATTTAAAAATTAATTTTTAAATATCAAGTCCATACTCCTTGAATATATTTAAAATCATTTTCCACAAATTATCTCCAGATTTCTGATATAGAAATCAATTGACTGTTTTTATTTTAAATACAAACCTCATACATTTCACCCCAAGTCATGTTCATTTTGAATCCTGGAAACTAACAGAACAACAAGAAAGGATGGGCATGAGAAAAATCATGCTTTTTCCAGCAAGGGGAGGAAGAACTTGAGTGAGGACTATGCAGTGGGTAGTTTTTGAGTGATTTAGGGGTTTGATACTCTGAGTTCTCAAATCATCCCAGGTATTGCTGTCCCATTCTTGATTAAGTCCCTAATTTTACATATGTAGTCCAATATGATAGTCAATTCTCAAAGAGTTGTAATTCAGCAAGCCAGAGAATCAGCCTCTGAGTTTGGCATTAGGTTATCTCTGAGCCATAAACCATAAGGTCAAAATTCCCAGATTTAAATTTGTCTTTCTAGAAACTATTCTTGAGTCTTAATACTTTAATCCATATCACACTGGATGACAGCAGCAAGTTCTTAATCACTATAGCTTCATTCTCAGTGGGTGCATGATTTTAGGTGACCACAAGTGGTAAGTGTACATTTGCCACTGAATACCATGGTGTGTGTATTCCCATCAGAGAGCATAAGTAGAAGATTTGCTGTCTTTTGCACCTCCCTGTATATTAATCAATAAAAAATTCCCATACCTTTCACTGGGAGGACACAGCTCACTTCTTATTGCCAATTCAAGTACTATTTTGGATTCTTTGGTTCCAACTAACATAATTCGAATTTGGTTTGCATTAATAAAAAAAAGGATGCTTTGCAAAGGATACAAGGCTCAAGACAGGGTTTATAAAAAAGAATTCTGGATTCAAACAGACTGGTTTGAAATTCCAACTTCCCTTGTCTTCAGGCAACTTTTCTGGTTCTTAATTATTCATTTGTGAAAAAGCCAAAGTAGTAGTTGGCTCATACAAGATTGTTGAGATAAAGAGTATTATATGTGTAAAACATGAAAGATAATTGTCTTTATTACAAGCTTGCTATTGTTATTTTGACTACTGAAAAACCTCCTGTGAGGAAGTGCAGTGGGCATGGTATCAGTGGAGATCTCAGCAGCAGGGGTACCTGGGAGGTCTTCTGTTAAGAGGTGATGGTAGAATGACTGGCCTTTTGGGGTTCACATGATCTCCTTATGAGGGGAGATAGGAGGCACCATGAGAGAGTAAAAAGATGCTGGGCAGGTAAATAGCAGGTATTTCTCTAAGACATATATATAACAATACCTTAGAAAATTACCTGACCCATTTCTCCTCCCCTAAATAGGGCTGACCACTAATCACCCTAAGAATAGAGCTTTCTGCTTTCTTGTTAAGTTATGAAGATGCTGACACATACATATCAATAGTTGGCATGATGGCCAATAATCCCTTATTTCTAAGAATACTAGTTACAAGCTGCATTCAGACCAGTGCTGTATCAGTGAATAGGAATGATCCTCATTCTATAATGCATATAGTCATGTGTTTAGGAATACTTACAATAAACATAGATATTTCTAAGAATGCCAAAAGACAGAAGAAAGAAAGAAAGAAAGAAGGAAAGAAGGAAAGAAAGAAAGAAAGAAAGAAAGAGAGAAAGAAAGAAAGAAAGAAAGAAAGAAAGAAAGAAAGAGAGAAAGAAAGAAAGAAAGAAAGAGAGAAAGAAAGAGAAAGAAACAGGAAGAGGAGGGAAAGATGGGAGACAGAGAGCAAGAGAGAGTGAGAGAGAGAAGAAAGAAAAATAATCCTTAATTTCCAGTTACCAGATACATTATTTCAGAATACTTCAGCTTCTTCATAGTCCTATTTCACTGGTCCACTATGTTAAAGAATTAAAGTACCTTCTCAACACTCTTCTCACAGCTGCCTTCACCTCCTCGTTCTGCAGGCTGTAGATGAGGGGATTCAGCATGGGAGTGACCACACTGTACTGCAAAGGGAAGACCATCTCCAAGGGGGAGCCTGAGGTTGGCAGGAGATAGCTGAGGAAACCTGAGCCGTAGAACAAGATCACAGTAGTGAGGTGGGAGGAGCAGGTGGAGAAGGCCTTGCTTCTGCCTGAGGTGGAGCTGATGCTCAGGATGGTGGACACAATGCGGGCGTAGGAGAAAACGATCATAATGAAGGTTCCAAAGAAATGCAAAACAGAGGAGCAGAGCAGGAGTGTGAAGTTGGCCGAGGTATCAGAGCAAGACAGAGGGAAGAGAGAGGACAGCTCACAGCTGAAGTGGGGCATAGTATGGTCTTCACAATAGTCTAGATTGACAGCCAAGAGGATATTGATGAGAGCATCAACAAAGGCCAGGCCCCAGGAGCCCCACACCAGCCCCACACAGAGCTCCTTGCTCATCACCTGGCCATAGAGCAGAGGGGAGCTGATGGCCACATAGCGGTCATAGGCCATCACAGCCAGCAGACAGGCCTCGGTGCCCCCCGTGGCAAACACAAAGAAGGCTTGAGCCAGGCAGCTCTCTACAAAGATGGTTTTGCTTTCAGAAAGTAGATTCTCCAGCATCTTGGGAGCTGTGACAGATGAGTGGCAGAGGTCCAGAAAGGACAGTTGTCCCAAAAAGAAGTACATGGGCGTGTGGAGGTGGGAATCCGCCCTGATCACCAGCAGCATCGTCAGGTTCCCTATCAGGGTCAGGAGGTAAATCACCAGGAACAACATGAAGAGCAGAATCTGGGTCTGAGGGTCAGCAGACAACCCAAGGAGGATGAACTCACTAAACAGGCTATGGTTTCCCATAGTGGTAAAAATATTTACCCTGGAAATCCAAGAAAGATATCAAAAACTGCTTTTGTGCTCTCAGTGACCTCACTGACTTAGCCCCCTTGCTCATGCACATGATTTCACGACTGTTCTGGAAACCATGTGCAGATATTTCTAAGCTAACTTCCTGATCATCATGATGATAACTTTGATGTTCGTGGATGACAGTCCACCAACCCTCTACCAACTCCCTATGTAATTGTGTAGACCCTCATCTTATAACTCTAGAGGTTTCTTTCTTTTATTTGTAAGATGGGCATTAATACAAACTATTTTGTATACTCAGTGAGAATAAGAGAGAATCTGTTGATGTAGCAGAGCAAGATGTTAATAGCAGGAATAAAGTCCTTGAGAAAGGGAAAATCAGTGAGATCCAGAGCATAAGCAGAGTTTGTCCATAGACAGGAGGGGCTCCTTTATTGTAAACAGGAAGGAAAGTAAAGAGAGTAGGAACTGAGGCATCTTGGTAGATTTTACAGATGGAATATAAGAGGCTTTCTAACTGATTGCTGCAAAGTTTTTGGTGAAATGTGAGGTGAGATCATGAATGGAGTCGGCCTATCTATCTATCTATCTATCTATCTATCTATCTATCTATCTATCTATTTATCTATCTTCAATCATTTACCTACCTACCTACTTATCTGTATGTGTATGTTTTCAGTGAGGTGGTGATGGGGGATTTTGATAACCCCAAAACACAAAATTCAGGTACATCAGGTAATTTACTAAGGAAATGCAGTGGGATTAAATGGTGACATATTTGCCCATTTGAGATTTTAAGACTATTTGAACAGGTATGCAACTGTCTCCAGTAATATTTAGCTGCGTAAGCACATATGAGGAGCAGAAAGGTATTTGGTTTTAAGTGGGGTTTGGGTTTTTCCAGGCATATTCAGTGACAAAGAAAAAAGGTAAGAAAGTGAAACATGCTTGTAAAGTGAATGAATCACAGAAACAAGGAGGTACAAAGAATTAAATTAGGGACACAAAGAGAATTACGGCTAGGGCAAAAGTGATAGTCGTTGGTTTGGGTTTGAGTAATTTCTTTGATAGAGACACTAGGGTAAGCAAGTTGTAATTTTTAGAGATAATTTTTAGAAATAATTTTTAGAGTGGTTAGATAGAGGGATTCTTGAAACCCAGATTTTGTAGGTTTAAGTGTTGATAATTAAAAAATGGCATTACTGTCAGAATAGCTGGCTAACTAAGATGGGGTAGATGATTCAGTCTCTGGCACAGAGGAAGACAAAGTTTAGGGTGCTTAGTTAGCATAGTGAGGATTTTTTTCTTTTTTTAAAAAATTTTCCTCCACTTCCTTTAGTGGGGATTTTTTTAACTCATATGAAATTTAATGAAAAAAATCCTTTGGTCCAAGATGATCACTTGAGTTATAACACTAGAGTGCTGACGGAGCAAACACCTACTTGGCAGTTGATCAGAAAAGCTGTTCCCCTGGAACAGGATAATAACTGCCCACATATTCCATGTCCAGCTCAAATTCCTTCCAGTTGTTTGATAACCTGAGTCAACTCCTGTCAATGTCTCAGACAGCTTTGGAAGTCCACATGCCAACTCAGACTACATTTTCACACTCCAAACTTTGCCCAGGTTTACCTGCATTGTTCTGACACCCTTGACTTGTACCCTCTGGCTCGGGATAACTATTCTGTAATGCTGCCCAAGTCTGGCCCACCCTGGCCTTTACTTCTAACTCAAGACAACTACATTCTGTTGATCAAAGAGAACTGAGGTCTCGCCTCCCTTAACTGTTAACCAAACAATAGATGGCTAAGTTCAATTACCTGTCTGAATGACCAGTAGCTTCACATGGTGGCAAGAGTACTTTGAGATCCAGTAAAAATTATTTGTATCCAAGGAAAATTATGCAGCTTGTGGAGTTAGTGTTGAGAATCCTGTATTGGGGCAGAATTGGGAAGAATTCTTGAAAAGTAATACTTGTAGTGAAATATATGCTGGCAATAAGAAATAATGAATTCTTGATATTATTTTTCCAATATATGCATATTTATTTGCAACTATTTGAGGAATTGATTATGAAAATATGGCTTAGTGTTCTTATTTCACTCATTAATTTAGATCTGATCACAGTATCCACTTGGGCTCCAGGTACTCAGATGCCCACAGTATCTCTAGAGGATATGGGCAAAGCAGCTGGCAAAGAATTGAAGCTGTAAATCCTTCACATCAGACAAAGTCCCATGTTACGCAGGGCGTTGAAGGGAAGGCTGCTGTGCCCCTGTGACATGATTTCAGGGCAATACAAAAAAGAAGCCCTTTCCTATCTCCCATATCCAAATAAATTCCTACTTATTAACTCCAGAAGATTATATAAATTATGGGAAGAATTTTACCCTTGCAACAAAGTGAAAGATGGGATAAGCTTGCACAGTATATTTGCACACACAAAATACAATAATAGAAAGAAAAGTTGATGTCCAGGGGCATGATTTCCACAGAACTGGAGCAACAGGTTTCTTTTTTAAGATATTTGTAAAGTGTCAGAGGGATTCCCTCAAAATAAGTAAATAAGTAAAATAATAAAAAAAACCTAAAATGTCACCATTAGTTCTTTCTTCTGCTGTTTTATAAACATAAAATGTCAACAATTTAAAAAATCATGGCATAGTTTTGTTAACAAACGTTAACATCATTAAATGGAGAGTGTTGAATGGACCCCATACAAAGAAAAAACAGCTAAGGACTCGTCATTGCAGAACAAAATATTACTCTGTTTTGTAATGTTCATCAGAAAGTATTAGCCAAGAACATGAATAAATGTATGAATGAGGGGAAAGCAAGAGGAGAATTTGATCCAGCACCTTAACTGATTTTGGAAGACAAGCCTGATTACAAAGGAGCTTAAAGCCCTGGGTTTATGAAGAGGTACCTGGTATGAAGAATAAAATGCTAAAACCAAAGCTAAGTGGTTGCTGGAGATAGGTATCACCTATTTTATCATTTTTGTCGAGATTATGCCTTGCTCCTGCCCCGCATATCTCAGAGGTAGGCCATCTGAAGATTATTTTAATTGCATATAAAGCAACTCTCTGAAGCTCGTAAGACCATGGTTGATGAGATTCTTTAAGGCATGAAAAGCGGGGAATATGTTCCCCGTGTGCTACCATGTTCCTGTCTAGACTGCTTTCAGATGGTGAGCTCTCAGCTTCTCCAAGATGAAATGCAGGCTCTATGCCTGAGATTCAGTAAATGCAGGAGAATGTTGCTAGTATCCTGCAATTTGGAGACAGACATGTGTAGGATAATCTGTGTTAAATATGTCACTTACCAGCTGTTGAACTTTGGTACTATTGTTTGATCCTTTAATTTTAAATTTCTCCACTTATAAATTGAGTAAACTTGGGAGAAATTATACCTTTCATTTGGAAGAATTATATTAGCTTATACCTAAAGAACTAGAAACAGGATTTCTGATCTCTTGTAATGGTTCATACATCCCAGGAAAAAAGGAAAAGGGTATTTTAGGGGAGTAGACCAGAGCATGTTCGGGAAGAGATAATATAATATAAGACCATATTGCAGAAGAACTGTCTCTAAACTTAGAGACAGTGTCTAGACTAGAGAACAGTGAAGAGATGAGAGACTTCAAAGGGACACTAAGTCTCTTGGAAAGCAAGAAAAGTAAACTGAAGAAGGAAGCACCTCAAGGAGTAGGCTAGGAGGGAATAAAATCATCAGAGGGTTCAGTAGAACATTTTCATGTTCTTGGCTTCTGCTGGAGACAATATCCTGGAGCTTTGAGTCAACAGGTGAAGAAATCAGGGATCAGGTGAAAGATGATGTACCACAACTTCCCAATTTTGGAAATAGACATAATTTTTACTCTAGGAGGCTGAGAAAGGCAGGGAGGCAGGGGGTTATATTAGTTCAGCCTTCAAAAAGTATGTCACATGCAGAGAAAGTGTTCAGGATCTTACTTATAGTCTTACCCCATCATGGCTTTGAAGAAAAGATAAAAATGTCTGGAAATTTTCAAGTTCTTCACAGGTTGTACTAATTTATCTCATATTGTCTGAAGTTTGATCTGAGTCAGTAAGCAAATACACCATCATTAGTTCACTCATTTTCCTCTATGACTCTAAATATTTTTCTGATAGCATTATCTGAACAAAGGATTCTGATATCCACCCAATCAAAAGAACAGTTGGTTTAGACTGAACTAAGGAACCCAGGGGACTGGCTCAATAATCTATATTCCTAGGAGTTACCATTTAAAGTCTAAACTCATTTGCTAAGAGGTTTGAACTTTTAAAAAGACATAAGGGATTTTCTCATATGTGGCCTTTGCAACTTGTGAAGAGAAGCAATCAACTTGAACTCTGGGAACCTGAAGAGAGGCAGGACAGGAGAAAAGAATTTAGAACCTGTGAAGAAAGCCAGGATTTTCCCTTGGGAACTTACAAGCCATGTGGATCCTCATGAGAATTCACTTGGGATCTGAAAAGATACTCACAGCTCATCTCCAGATTATCTTATTATGTGTGTATCACATGAAACCATTCAACTGGGTTTCACATTAATCAATATTAGTTCAAATGAAGCACATTTAAAAAAATCACTATTTAATTGTATAACAAATAGATGGTTATAGTAAAGTATACAGCAGAATATAAGTTTCAGTAGTTCTATTCCTAACTTACCTCATAGGTCAGAGAGTCAGTTGGGGAGAAACTGCCAGTTGTTAAAGAAACAGTTTAACTATAATACCCAGTAACGAGAGAAATCAGTATGGTGCTGGCCTGACCATACTGGCCTGACTGTGTGTGTTTTATATATATATACTCTTTTTAGTTTCCAGAAAAGAAATATTCTAAGTGTTAGGCAGAAAGACAGATGTGAGCAGGATGAAAAGAGGTGGGGCCCACCAAGGACTGGGGAGTTAATCAGATAAAGCCAGGGAGCCTGAGAGCACTCACAGCGGTAACGCCCTTTTG